GGCTACGTGCAAGGTATGTCCGATCTCCTCGCCCCGATCTACGCCGTCATGCAAGACGACGCGATCGCCTTCTGGGGCTTCCAGCATTTCATGGACCGCATGGAACGGAATTTCCTCCGCGACCAAAGCGGCATGAGAGCTCAACTACTCACACTTGACAATCTCGTCCAGCTTATGGACCCAAAACTCTACTTACATCTCCAATCCGCCGACTCTACGAATTTTTTCTTCTTCTTTCGCATGCTACTCGTCTGGTACAAGCGCGAGTTTCAATGGCTGGATATTCTGCATCTGTGGGAAATTCTTTGGACAGATTTGTTAACTAGTGGGTTTCATCTGTTTATTGCGCTGGCGATTTTGGAGAAGCATAGAGATGTTATTATGGAGCACTTGCAGCATTTTGATGAAGTGCTGAAATATGGTACGTCAATTCTCCTCCTTTACCTTCTTACTCGCCGCTAAATGAATTCATAGTCAACGAACTCTCCACCACAATTGATCTAGAATCAACACTCGTCCGGGCCGAGGCACTATATCGTCGCTTCCAACGTACAGTCGAAGCTATAGATAAGAAATCCAATTTCCCCGCCCCAAAACTGCGTCAGCGGAACACGGCGGCGACACAGAATCCCACGCCGGGTGGTAGTTCTGAGTCTCCTGCCTCGCCTACAGCCGATACGTCAGCTGTAGATGCTGTGAGTGCTGGAGGTACAAATAGTGGACCTGGGAACTCAAATGCAAATGCAAACTCGGGGCCTAGTACGACTAGTCCCACAACCAGGGCGAAAGACAACGCGAGGGCGAATGTGAAGGGCAAAGGCAAGGGAAAGAGCGACGAGCCACAGAGTGGTGAGTTGCAAGAGCAGAGGCCGAAGGTTGTTAGTCCTGTACTTCGGGGACTGCTGAGTCGGAAGGTCGAGATATTACCGAGAAAGGTCGTCAGGAAAGAGGGAGAGGGCTTGTCGAGTTTGAAGAAGTAATCTAGGCGTAGTATGGACTTCATTTGAGGCGTGTGGCTGGTGTGGCTGGTGTTGAGGGATTATGGTATTCTAAACCTTGGCGTTCGGTAAGGAAGGGCTTCGGGAGCAAAGCGTGTGTCTATAGGATTGGGGGCAAGGTTCTTGATTTGGGGAAATGTTAGTATGTTTATATTTATCAATTCAAGCATTTTTAACTCATTGTGCCACTACATTCCGTTGCACTTGGTTCACTTGAAAACGGGCTTCTTCCGCGTGGCTATAGGTGTTTTACTATATATAACTATCATCTATCGTCCATGGAGCTCGCTGTTAACGATTCTGTTCTTAATTTTGTAATACAAAAACTCAGCCAGCGCCGCCGGAGGCGATGGTGCTAGCCCGGAAAAAAAAATCATTTCGGCGAGAAATAAAGCAAGATCTATGGGAAAGGACGGCAACGGATATTTTATAAAAAAATTAGCATCTTGTTGTTTGGTGTATCACGGACACGGGACTCGAAAAGTGTTAATGTGTTTATGATTTATCCGTGGTGGTTTTCACCGAGAGAAGCCTTCATTAGAATAGCCTATGGTGCCTGTCAGCTATCTTGAAGAGCATGCATTGATTCGTGCTACGGCTGCTATTCGATTCTTGACTCCAAACATTCGCATCGTACTCGAAAAGACTGCTCCGTGGAGCCCGGCGAGCACCCGAGTGAAGTGTTTCGGATGAGTCCAGTGGCCTCCTCTCTCTCTTTCTTTCTTTCTTTGGTCAAGATGTTTTACCAGTCTTTCTTTCCAGAATCTAACCCATAGGCAAAATATCATCAAAAAAACTTCGACAGAGACTACCCAGAAAATTGCGCTTCCTTTACGCATTCATGTCAAGTTCCGCATCTCGTTTACTCTCTTGATCACGTGATGAAATAGTCCAGGCCACTTCGGCATAGCCTCATCCACAATCGTCATGATAAGAGACTTGGACTGGCCGTCCCAGGTTTCCGAGGATTCGAGGTGCCACAGCTGTCAGGAACATGCCAGGAAAGCAAAACCGCGCGCGTCCAAGAGCCAGACCCGTTTGTCGTCTCAGACCCCTGTGTGTATATTCGCTTAGAGAGGAGAAGGGCCCCCTGATTGCCCGAATGTGGGAACTGTCAATTCGTGAATAATTCTGATTCAAGACTCTCCGACATTGATAGTAGCTGGATACAGTAGAATACACAGAGTTGCGTTGTATCATAATGTAGATTATCGTGACTCACACGGTCTTGGGGATTGTTGATCCTCTCTCAGCCGCGCTCAACCTCAAGATCTCGCTTATCTCCAGGGGAGCCACCTCAGCCATCCGAGACACCATCCGCGTCTCAAGATTTCTGCTCCGCCCAATCCACCACAATCACAAAACTTCAGACTGAGCGCCACACTTCACCGGACGACAGACACTTCGTACCCCTCGCACCCGCCGTCAAACTTCAGACAAGCTTTGTCGGACGAAGTCAATTGAGGGTGGGCCATGTCGCATGCGACGTCCGATCTACGCGGCTCAGTGACTTGTTTCGGCTTCTTGGCCTTCCTTCTTTACCCAAGCATGGACTGCTTTCTGGTGAGAGATGATGATGGGTACGGTACAAGTGTACCATGTTTGAGGATTCCGCTCCTGTCTTTTACCTGGCCTCGATCACCACCATCTCTTCTTCTTTCCGCTTCTCTCTTCGCCTTCGCTTTCGCTTTCCGTTCGGTATCTATTCTGGTATTCTTATTTTCTTTGCTATCTGCTTGCGCAGTATATTCTTCGGGGGCGATAGATCAATTGTTTACATTCTTTCTTTGATCGATATTCTTGTCGTTGCTGGTCAACTCTCACTCTTTCTCGACCACCGGACTCGATACACTTACTCCTCACCCAACTCACCCAACTCTTGTTAAACACTCCCAGTCCCTCCCCAGCCCTCCCAGACCCTCAAAATGGGCGCCAACCTCTCGAACCTCACACCAGTCGACACATCCAAGGCTGTCCTCAGTTCGGGCGATTTCGACACCCTCGCTATTAGACTTCCGATCCTGTGGGGATGCTCGATTTACGTCATGTTCATGATCATGTCGACGTGTATGCTGGCTGATAGGTGGAGGGGACCACGGGGAGAAAGGAGATTGAGTGCGGCAAGTGTTTTGGTGGCGATGTTGGCGAGTGCGGCGTGGCCGCTTGTGTTGCTTTATTTGTTGGTTAGTGCGTAAGCTTGAGGGGGATGTGAGGAGTGGAGTGGATGAGGAGGGCTGTGAGACAGTTGGGGAGAGGTGAAACGGTTGGGACGGAGGTGGAAGTCGCGAGGTACTTGTTCGACAGAAGATGGACGATAAGTTGGATTTTGGACAACCTCGAGAGGGAGTTGGAAGAGGGTCCTCGAAGGTCGAAGGTGTATATACCGTTGTTGTTCTTCAGGTACAGATTATCGTGCGGTGTACAAGTCCGATGATCCACCGGTTTCTGTCTCTGCCAATCGTCAATTTCTTGCTCAAGTATTACCTATCATCTCAACCTTTTTCTTCTAAGAGTGTTGTTTTTCTTCATGTGGTCCTACATCTCTTTCTACGTCTCTTTCTTCTGTTGGGATTTCGATCGGTATCAATTGAACTAACTTCCCTGCTTGCGTTTCTGCAGCTCCTTCAGTTCTATGTGCATCATACTGCCGCCGAGTCATTGCTTATTGCCAGTCGGGTTCAGCATTTCCAAGGATTTCGCTCGTCTTCGCATGCTTGTGAGGAGCAAAACATAAGAGCGAACGAGGATAGATTCAGAATTATGTTTGTTGTATCTGACAAGTTCTCTAGAAGGCCTGTTGTCAGCCAGTGGCGTCCGAGAAAATGCCACGAGATGGAATGAGATATGGCAAGTCCATTTGGGTCTTATCCGCTTCCTTTCTTTGTATGATGGCTTAAGATAAGTAACCATCTCTAGGTCTCTGGTCCTGATGTGGGAAAAAAGCAGCGTTGGGAGTCGGATATATCGGCCAGGCCATATCTGAAGTCCGTAGGCTTGTGCGCAATTAGCTTAACTTATCAATAGCTCGGAACGCAAGGGCACATCAGTGAGCCTCACTGTCGAAGCACAATCTCTGGTCCCTTTCGTTGTACACCGAGATCGTGTTGTGGACATCAAATCCTACGGAGCTACTCAGACCGGATACTAATGACCTCAAGTTATACTCAGGAGACAAAGAGTAATGGCTTCTTGCAAACACATAGAATTTGTCCTCCTCTGATAGGATAATAGGAACAGGACTATCCCAGTGTGTTGTTCTTTATCAGCACCCAACCTGTCAGCATCTCACACATCCAGGGTTCTGCATTCGATTCCAAGGCGCCGTTACCTGGAAATGCATTCGTAGGCTGCACATCCGTAAGTAACCACGACTCCACCCGAGATTTCTAGAAGCAAGTGAGCTCTCGATGTACCGCTGAGAATAGGAAGACAGGAAAATCAATGATGGCAATCACTTCTTGTAAGTCATAGTTAATTCCCATCTGAGCTTTACTGGCAAATTCCTTCCTAGCGAACAGTTTTTTAGGGTAAGGACGACGCCATGATCACTACGAATTGAAGAAGAGGAAGCTTCGAAACCTGGGTCAATAAAAGTTAGCATATTCGAAAAGGTTGCGGATCAAAGCCTCTATGACTAGAACTAGGAGCCAGCGGGTCCGCAGACAGAAGTAGACCACTCTAAGAGCAGTTTAACATTCCAGTATTCTACCGTAAAATAGCGGTGGTTATAATATCGAGAGTAAAACTTTGGAATTGCCTAGGTGTAGGCTACTGATAGTGAACAGAAGGGCTCATTACTACCCAATGCAAAACAATAAGGTGCATAATAAGGAGAGCCCAGAGAGAGAGCTGCAGAACAAAGGGCCCAGATTCATGTATAGAATGCTTCATAAAAGCGGGTGTCTAAGAACATCATGATTAAACATGAGTAATTGAGATCCAGAAATGCAGTCTCCTTCATACAGGGAAGGGATTCTTCAAAAGAAGCAAAAGGAAAGTCGCTGTCCGCGGAGAGACTCGAACTCTCGACCTTTGGATGGCCAGACTGTTTACAGTCATGTCATATGAGGATATGAGACCAACGCTCTAACCAACTGAGCCACGCAGACTTCGGACTAATCATGATTTGATAAATGATTGTGATTCGTCAAGCTTACTCTAATACATATTGCAGAATATTTTCTCGAAAAATCTATGACCCCGCTGCGGGGCATTTGTTATTGGGCTTCTCCCGGTGTACGGTATTATCCGCACACCAAAACCGAGATATGTAATAGCACAGCAACTCCTTCGCAACTACTGATCAGAAGTGATTTGAAGTTATGCCAAAAGATAGAAGAGCTTCTTGCGAGTACTGCAGTATTATAATTGAAAATTTCGCTTCGTTGTCTGTCTCACTGTGTTACATCCTAGGAAGGGCCTCTTATTGATACTCTTCGTTCTCGCCTGTTGGTATGCAAATAATACCGTACACCGGGAGGGCTCCCCGACATGCGCATCCGAGGCATTTCAATGGAGGGAAACTTGTGTAGAGCTTCTACTTTGGCTGCTGGAGGAGATCCAACCCTGAACACTTTTACAGTAGTGACCCAAAAGTTGCAGGTGTGCCGAAATGATTGATTTGAATATTCCCTATCCATCTCCATCCATCTGATCTCGCTATCAACCGAGGTGTCGGACTAAACAGAAGTTCCACGGCGGCAAGCGAACGAGGCCGAGCAAGATGCGAGCTGCAGCAGGATATCAAGGTTAGAGGTGTGGCTTTATAGCATCGGCATTACTTTTTCGCTCTTGGCTTCTTTTACAATGGAAGCCCTGCCCAGCACGATATAATACCATATCACATGGTTCGGTTCGATCCATTCATGCATGGCATTCATGGCATTCGTGGCCATTTGGATCACTTTGAGTACCTGGACAGCTCCAGCAAGAATTCACTCATAAAGAAGGTCGGAACAAAGCTACGAATGAATGCTCTTGAACTTGCAAAACAATCGGCAATTAACTAACTCCTCATTACTGTCACCAGCCTCTTTCTTTCGTACTTGCTTTCCGATCAAGATCCTTTCTTTTCTCATGGGCTTAAGCTTTCGGAGTCGTCCGCATGCATGTCACTCAATTGGACCGTGAAGGCCACATTAAATAATCGTGTCTTCAATGCCTGTCATATATCTTCGCTCACCTTCCCCAGTGGGGTAGCCCGCCGAGAAAGAATCTCAAGATTGCGCCAAATACGCTGCAGGAACCGATCGCCAAGTAAGACGGCTCCGCCCAGCCTTTCAGCTAATATGGCATGTCCGAAGGTGGCCAAAAAACGTGTCCGGAAATCGTTCCCTTACTTGATCAGGAGAGATGACAGTTAGTAACGGGATAAGGCTTGGGATTGCTTATGAAGATATAAAGTGTTTTTGATCCCCTTTGTTGTTGGGGGGTCCATCCAGCCAGCAACCCCTGAATCAAGCGATCATGAGATTCTCTCTCGCTACTTTGGCCTTGGCTTTCACTGCCTGCGCGAACGCCGTTTCCATCAATCAAATAAACGGCGTCAAATATCTCTCGCCGTATGTCGGTCAAACCTTGACTGGTATTAAAGGTCTAGTGACTGCGAAGGGACCAAATGGATTCTTTCTGAGAGATACATCACTGAATCTCAACATCAATTCATCGAACTCCATCTATGTCTTCGGGGCTTCCGCGCTGCAGAATGTCACAGTTGGAGATATTATCACTGTGGATGGGACTGTCGCTGAGTTTCGTTCAACTTCCACCTACTTATTCTTGACGGAATTGACCTTCCCAAACAACGTCAAAGTCCTCTCGAAGGGTAACAAAGTTCAGCCAGTTGTGATTGGTCAAGATCTCTTCAAGTACCCTCCAACCGAGCAATTCTCATCTCTCGACAACGGGGATGTTTACTCTCTCCCCAGCAACAAGAGCTTAGTTTCTACCGTAAACCCAACTCTCTCGCCTCTCATTTATGGTATGGATTTTTGGGAAAGCTTGAGCGGAGAACTAGTGACAATCAAGAATCCAGCTGCGATTACCAAGTCTAACAGATTTGGAAATGTGTGGATTGCTGGATCGTGGAGAACCTCGGGCAAGAACAAGCGTGGTGGATTGACGATAAGAGACAGAGGTATGGCTCTTATTGTACTTTCAAGAATCATACTGACGACATTCCACAGATTCAAACCCAGAAGCACTTGCAGTCATTGATCCTCTTGATGGTACCAAGAACCCACAGACCGTCAAGCTTGGTGACACTTTGGAGGAGATCACTGGTGTTCTTACTTATGCCTTTGGATACTACAGTATATATCCTCAAACTGCTGTGAAAGTGATTGGTTCTGCTTCACCAGCGACACCCCCACCGACCACTCTTACGTCTTCCGGAACATGTGGGTCGCTCACATTTGGTGATTACAACGTGGAAAACTTGACACCCAAGTCGGCATGGCTTCCATCGATTGCCGAGCACATCGCCACCTACTTAACGACCCCCGATCTTTTGTTCATCCAAGAAATCCAAGATGATAATGGAGCGACCAACAATGGAGGTATTTACACCTCTTTTCACGAAACTGTCAGTTACTGACCTCTGTAGTCGTCACGGCAAACCTGACTTTAACGACTCTCGTGAACGCAATTTACAACATCTCTAAGGTTCAATACGCATTCACTGAGGTGTTGCCAGTCGACAAACTCGATGGCGGTGAGCCAGGTGGAAACATCCGCCAAGCTTACCTCTACAAGCCCAATGTGATCAGACTACGCAAGCCAAACCTCGGCGGACCTCTCGATGCAAACGAAGTTCTTGCAGGGCCAGAGCTCAAGTTCAACCCAGGTCGTATTGAGCCTTCCAACTCTGCTTTCACTGCCAGTCGCAAGCCATTGGCTGCCGCGTGGGAAACCCTTGATGGAAAGAACAAGTTCTTCACTGTCAACTTGCATCAGGGAAGCAAAGGAGGCGGAAGTCCTCTGCAGGGTGATGCTCGTCCTCCCATCAACGGAGGCGTAGCCGACCGCTCTGCTCAATCGAACATCACTGCCGTAAGCCATTTTTTACAGCCCTGATTTCATCTACTATGCTTACACTCATCAGACGTTCGTCGCTCAAATTCTCAAGAAGGACCCCTTCGCCAAAATCATCGTAGCAGGCGACTTCAACGAATTCTCATTCGTCGAGCCTCTCGAAACCTTCAAGTCTGTATCGCATATGCTCGACCTCGACGATGTGACGCTCACGCCTACAACCGAGCGATACACTTACATGTTTGACATGAACTGCCAAGAATTGGATCACATGTTTGTTAGTCCGGCACTGATCCTGGGTGCGGCGTTTGAGCATGTACATGTGAACACCTGGAGCACATTGGCGGACCAGAAAAGTGATCACGACCCCAGTGTGGCGAGGTTGAATGTATGTTCGTGATGGATGGGTGGTAAAATGATGTGTATGATTTATGAAAAATGGATAAGACCCTGTTTGCTAAGAACGAAGTCTGCGGCTTTGAAACAGCAAAAGTCTGAAGGATGTTCGGACAGGTAGGTATTTGCAAAACTGGAATACGCATAGCGCTTTGAAGCATACTGCTCTATTTCATGAAATCGGGCCGCGAGGAGGTTGCGATACAAGTGTCCTGCTTCCTGCCTACGCTAGTGTGGGCATGTTCCTTCCCTTTCCAGTACAGTCGTCTCCTTTCATACTCTCCACAACCATTCACCTCCAGTTACAACACTGCAGAAATTAATCTGACCAGCCACGCGGAGATGAACAAAAAAAACAGTGCCAAAACCAATCAATATGTGTTCCAAAGGTCTCGCATATCGTCAAATTGCAGCAACGACGACTACAATGAGCGACTTTATGAACCAAACGATAGCAACCCGAAAAACAAAAAACGCGTGTCATCACGTTCGGTTGCCTCCTCGTCTAGAGCAGCAGATGTTTTGAACATCGAGATAACGAGAGACGGCGGCTATGCCAACTTCAAGAACTTTGTGGAGTCGCAAGGAGACAAGATGTGGAACGATGAGCATATTCAAGACGCTAAATACAATATGGTTGTAGAGATAGACCATGGTCAACGACAACGGGATGAGGAGGAGCAGTGTTATGGTCAGCGAGGATTGAATGAGGCGTATGGTTGCCAGGAGCGTGGATACAGTGCGTCTGGTGGAATTGGATACCATCAGAATAGCGGGATGAACCGTGATCATGGCCATTAGCGCTCTGGTCGGCGTGTAGATGAAGGATATGGTCATCAAGATTATGGTTATAGAGGATCCAGCTCGAGGGATGACGGTCAACAGGCTGGCAATTACCAAGAACATGATCGTGAGCCATATGATCCGCAAACACAATCCCGGTATGTAATGCCCTAGACTGGGAACAACGAGCACTGTCGGGAAGAAGTATCGTGGCAGTATTGCAAAGCACGAGACCATGGATTAGTAAAAAATGTGGACGTGGACGAAGAAATGGATGTTGGAGGTCCAGACGCTCAGGATGGAGAGGCCTACGATGAGGTCGATTATGATGATAGCTATCGCGATACTGGATATTATGGTGATTTTGACCGCGTGGGTTAAATGGATAAGGATTCTTTGCCTCGCCAACATTGTCAGTTGGCTCGTCTACAAAAATTTCCGCCGGGCAGGACTCCATAGGTTGGTGGCGATAAGTATTCAGGACTTAAGTAGGTCTATGTGGTTTTATCAAATAACCATTGCACATTTGCAGCAGTATGGCCATCTTGCAAGCGTGTTGGTTGCCAAAGTCCTGGAATCATAAAACTTGTACCAGGATGGGGACGCTTCATGCCTAAGAATTGGTCTTTAGAAACGAACTCCCTACAGATAATGATTGAGTCCAGGAGTGGCAAGTAACAAGTTCAAAGAGTTTTCCCGTCTTCCATTATTGATAAAAGTCGCGTCTCCACATGAGAAGCTCCAGCTGTATAGTCTCACACATCCTCAACATTCCTCACCACAAAAACTTTCGGGTAAGAAAAAGAGGATGACGAAGAGATGGGTAACAGATCCTTGACGGGACGTTTGGCTTGAGGATGTGTTTCATGAAGGGCGATAGCGATGTGGACGTCTATTT